ATCCTTGTCCACGATTCTTGTTCATCCTCGAAACTGCTACACATATTTTTGACTCGTCCTTGTAAATGATAAATGTGGAGTGAATAAATAACGAACAAATAACTGGCGTATTTCTTTTTTGCGAAAGGATGCTAACAAACGAAAATCGTGTTAACTTATGTACGATTAGATCCGTGGGAATTCTTGGCGCGAAAAAGACGAATGCGAAGTTTCTAGGATCGAAGGTTAATGAAACGGTTCAAATTAATGGTCCTCTTGAAGTGTGATTAATTGATGCACTTTCGTCGTGCCTTTGAAGCATGACAAAGATTAGCATACTTGCAAAGTGCGGAGATGGTTGCTTTTTATGTATTGAGAATCTATAAATTTATACATATTTGTATAAATTATTGTTGGTTTGCTCATGATTGAGATTAAAATCATTAATGTGTTTAAAAAATAGAAGATATTCGTTAATGACAATTAAAAGTTAAAATACACTTTTCAACTGGCAAATGGCAGCTTAAAACTTTAAAACATTACTATTTTGCTTGATATTATTGTTAAATGTGTTCAGCCTTTTCAATTATTTGAATTCTTTGCTTTATAAAGGCAAATAAATGTAATCATACCATACAGGTACCATTTTATTAAAAATGTGTAAAGTACACAAGCTCTATTATCCTGAAGATACGAATAATATACCAATCATTCACTTCCCATTAATCAAATATTATTGATCACTATATTCTTCAGGAAACCATACAAATCTACCAGTAACTGTCCGAACCGGTTACCGTATCACTCTGCTAATACTAAATCAAACAATTCTACCATTCGTTATTCGCAGGCAGTAAAAGTATTTATCTTTCTTGTGCAAACAAATTTTCCTAGTGGCCAATCGATCACTCACAGTTCGGTTAATAGAAAGAAGGGGCCAAAAGTTTAGTTGCGGGAAGATCAAGCGCGAGTTGTAGAACGCCACATGTTTCCCCTTTCATTTTCTTCATTCCCTTCGTTACTGTGTAGCAAAGTTACCCCTCGGAAAACAGATAGCCATTCTGTCCCATAATATTAGGCTGGCCAAAAAGTCTAGTCGTTTTACTTTCCAATGTGGCGTTTATATTCTAACGTACGAATCAGTATTACAAATAAGTAAACTGAAAAACAGAAAGCATACGAATAGAATATGGAACTCATAGTTCAATGAGGTTTGTTTTAACAAAATGAAATTTTCCTTTAAACTTTGCTTCACAATGCGAACATACTTTTTATCCAATTTAATATAATACCACCTTTTCTCGCAAGGTTCACAAACAAATTCCATGTTCAATTTTATACGTACTGCTAACTGTATCTATTACAGTTACATGATCAAATCAAAATTAATGAACAGTAAGTCTGAGGACGTTTTATCACAGCAAGAAACCGGCAGTATCGATATATTAAAATAAATTAAATCGTCTTAGGAATTTATATGAAACAAAAGAAATAAATCGATCTATTATATATCTGGAATTAATAATTATTGCAAAAACCTAATAAAGTTATAAGCTTAGTTTTCATACTTTTATTTAACAATAAATGTACCGCGTTCGGTTAAATAACCGGTTTTAAAAGATTAAAAATGCGTTTCTTTTCATTCATTTAAATTTATATTAATTTATATATTGTTCGATTAATCAGTTTTTCAATTTTTATATTTCCTTCCGTTTCTGTTTTCACTAAGAAAAGTTTATTGTCTAACTTGTTTACTTTTATTCTGTAACCAGTTATTTGACTGGTCATGGTGCGATTAGATATATACAAAATACCGGTATGTTTAGTGTTAAAAATTTTATTCGACAGTTTAAAAATTTATGAAAATCTAATCGAACTATACCAAATTTACCCTATAAATACAGCAAAGGTTATCGCTGGATCAAAATCACTCAGTAATCGGTTGTACGAGAATTAATTTTTAGCGGCTATGATTCACCAGTTGCGCTTATTTCGTTTACATGTGGATGCTTGAACAGTTGACTCTGCTCTCATAAATTGGAGTCATCGCCAAGTGAAGACTATTCCTACGAAATTCTTTTCTTCTGTGAAATGTATGCGCGGAAAACACGATAGTTCTGAAATGTGGACTCGTAAAATCGAACGACCTCGTGATCTCGGCTACATTATGAAGGCCGCGTGACCATGGGCTACCACGTCTCGGTGTATCGGTGACCATATCAGGTCAGCTGAAACGATCCTCGACCGCACGGATCGAAATGAGTTCGTTGATGATCTTCGTTGCACAAAGTGGGCGAACATCCCGATATTTCGAATTTCTCCCGGAGAAGGAATGTTATGATGTTCATGATAAATGCCGGCTAAGTGAATGAGATCAATATAATCGATAACATGACGATATTCCTGGGGACTTCTTTTTAATGAAATATAAATGATATTACATAATAAAATGATTGTGAAGAATGGTTTTATGTATTGATTGGGCTACGTGATATTCCGTATACATGCGTATCTACTGTATTTATGGGTATATAGAAAATCAATTCATTATGTTCTTCCTTTTGTCTATTTCTATTTTATGTGATCTACTATAGAATGGAAGGAATTTATGAATTTATAAACTAAACATCAGTAAATACGGTTAAGGAATTTCATTGTATTGAGAATTTTTTAAAGTATAATATGTTATAATATAACATTACAATATTAGTACTATTCTAATATTAGGATATTATGATATTATTAATAGGATAGAAAAATATTGCAATATAAATGCATATAATCTACGATCCATTGATTTTGCAGTTTCACGCAAATATTTCCCTCAATTAACAGTGCTCGTCGAGCTTCCCGTCGGAATTTCTGCTCGACTCAATCCTTCTTGTAACCCGGGCGTTTTATTTATATGCCTGCCAAGCCTGTTCCATTGATAAAACGTCCATTAACGATATTTCATTCCCGTCGTCGCGGAGACGTTCCCTTCGATCACTCACGTGAGGGTTCGCATGTTTTTTTTCGTCACGTCACTTCCTTCTCGATAATTGTGTCAGATCGTACGGTATAAACAGTATCACCGGCTGCAATGAATTTCACATCTACCTCGAAAAACCCTGCATGTTTCGTAAAAGAATGTATCGTCGACAAATTTATTGCGGAGCAAAACTATTTTTATGGTGTCGTAAAACAAGAAATCTCCTCGCGTTAGTTGGATTAAGTCTTCCCTTCCTCGTTTCGTTTCCTTGCCTCTCCGAGCCAAGACATCATCGATATGTTCCCAGTTGGCCAAACATCTCGACACGATTAACTTATGGAATGCCACGAAGGCGTTGTCCCCTATCCCGTTTCCCTACTATGTAGTCGATTCTGCGACCGTTAATCGTGGACATTAAACTACGGACAGGTTTCCTTGAAGATCAAGACGAATCGAAGAAAAAAATGAATAAATTATGACTATATAATTAGTTTGTCTGTTACGTCAATACAAAATCTATGCGAAGCTTACGAATCGCGAATACAGCATAGCAGATTTTATATTGCCGCTTACAAGGGAAGTTATCGAGCCCGGAAATTTAAAAAATTACAAAACTCTGTGTGAAGGTAAAGTAAATCAAGCTTAATACATTGCAATTGTTTCGTGCGGAATTTCACTATGAAGAGATGGAACCACCTCTTCAAGGAAATGCAAATATTTCTTTCCCATGGATTATCTTGAGATGGTAAGAGATAGCGAAAAAAGTTTAAACAAAAGGTACATTGTTCTTTTACGTTTATAAAATTGCAAGATAAAATTTTTAATGAGTTCAAACTTTTCAAAATATCCCCACCACTAGCCCTTTTTAAAAAATTTGATTTTGCAATCTTATAGACGTGAAAAAACAATGTATTTTATTTTTATTTTCGGTATCTCTTATCGTTCCCAAGATAATCTACAGAAAAAAAAATCTTTTTCAAAAGGTGGTTTTGTCCCTTCAAAGTGAAATTAGGCACGAAAAAAATTGCAATGTATTGGGCTTAACTTTACTTATACACAGTTTTGTAATTTTTTGAATTTTTGGATTCGATAACTTCCACTGTCGGTTTGGCATCAAGACTGGATTCATGTGTTATTTTTACACATTATTAGAGACATTTGAGTATTAGAAGAAATGTCAGATTTTTTAAATATGAAAGAATAAAATTGTTGTATGTATCTCTAGAAGTTTGAAACTGGGATTCAATTCTTAAATGAGGGATGCTATTGTGGCGAAAAGTGATTTTATGAAGGAAAGAAAATTGAAATAACATGAACAATCCTTTATAATTATAATTCAAAAATATCCAAAGGTAATAGAAATTTATGTGACGTTTTCTCATTTTTACGTGGCTTGCGATATATTCAGATTTTCCGCGTAATTTTAAACAAAAAAGGTACTTCTATTACGGAATTCAATAGCAAATAAAATGGAACATTATAAGCTTTAAATCCATTTGTATTGAAAGCTTGTTCACTATGACGTATACGGGGGTTTATGTAGATGTAATATTTTAAAATATGCAAAATACGGGCATAATACCTATAAAATATATACAGAATACGCGTAAATCAAAGTGCTTACAATGTAATGCAATATAATACGAGGATTGTATAAAATGTACATTGTGAAGGTGTCTTTAGTTGTATACCGTGACCTTTTATTGCACTTTTATTATTCATCATCAAATCCAATGCCTATTAAAGTCTCCATTAACACAGTATAAGAATACACAATAAAGGCATTCAAGCAACATTCGAATTTTTATATGACGAAGCATAACTCGAGATTCTTCTCACAAAAATAATTTCTATGCTAATACAACCAATAGAGAAATTCTAATTTTTTTACATCCATTATAATATCAATATAGAGTTGTTCAAACCACGCAGTATAATAACTTACATCTTATTTTAAAAACTTCAGCAACTACAGGATTAACAGTTCAATCGTTAACTAGAAAAGTTCTTCTGAGACTAACAGTGTTAAAAAAAGTGAATTTCCACTTACCCAACATATGAATGACATTCCTCTGGGCGGCGCTCTTTCCTCTGCCACTGTCACAATGGACCAATCCGGCCGGTAAATGATTCCTTTTCACAGTTACGGTGAGTAATCTCGATCTTCTCAACTGAATTCCGATCAAGATGTACAGAACCGTGATGATTGTCATAGGGACAACGAAAAAGAGCATGGTCGATATCTGGAAAGCGTGCTCGATTAGGATCGATTTCACCGAGCATCTAGCGCTGTCCAAAATGGCCGAGCCGTTGCTGTACTCATAAACGATCCCGAACTGGATCGCCTGTGGCACGGCCAGGCAGAGCGCCAGCATCCAAATCACGATGACAAATTTGACCGCACGGGAGAGCTTCGACATCGTGTGCGAGATGATAGGGTGACAGATCGCCACATACCTAAAAGTAAAGGAATCGTGTTTCCAAGATGGTAGTATCTTCGTTAACAATAAACGTATCAGCATTAAGTATTAGGTCGTCCCATAAGATCGTGCCGTTTATTTTTCTATCGTTTAACATTAATTACGATACAAAGGCATTCTGGATTGTTAAGGGTTAAACGTGACGAAAGCGATTCACGTTACCTTTCTGTTTTATTGTTTAAATAAAAAATGGATGGTAGATTATCTGTATAGATGAAAAGCTTTTCTTTCAAAAATGTTTCTATCGCGTTTTAAAATTTTGAGAAGAAGGTTATTCAAACTGAAAGAAAGTTTTCCTTAATCTGGCATTTATAATTTTGAAAAGGAAAATACCTTGTACAATCCCTATTTCTATTAAAAAAGCTTTCCTCACTAAGTGCCTTTTTCAAGCAACGGGAGAAGATTGGTTTTCTTTTCAAGAGTGTTCAATATCGTATTTTCAAAGGGTTGTGACGAAAATCCCATTGAAGGAAGACGAATCTTTCTTCTGTCACAAAGTTTATCTTCGAGATCTAACGTGGCTGTTCCAACTAATTACACTTAAAGTGTTACTTCGGCTGACGTGCTCCAACATTTTCGACGTCACGTAACAAAGGGTGACGATATCATACACAGTGTGATCTGGTTCTTTAAAATAAGGTTCACGTTTCAAGAGCTCAAGTAAAATTGTCTATGAAACACTATATTATTGGAACTTGTCAAGCTTACTATCTCGGTGTCAGTGATAATAAACAAGAAATTAGATATAACAAAAAAAATTATACGATTTTTATAGATATATAGTCCGTTTATTATAAAAGTAATATAACTATATTTATTTAAATTAAGTTGACAAGTAACCTGAATGTAATTTAATATGAATGTAATGTACACTTTATTTAAAAATCATTTGAACAATATATTTAAATTTGGTTGTTTATTTATTTATTTATTTATTCAGTTGACGGACAGATACCTTTTAGTGCAGAAAACGAAGAAACATAAATGAAGTGTAAGGAGGTTACAAAGCAAGAGTTTCACAATATAATGCAATAGATAATAAAATAATAAGCAAAAAGAATTTAATTTGACATTTGATACTTCACTCAGGAATTAGTTTTTTAACAGAGTTTTTAAAGTTATTTAAATTTCTGGAAAATATATCAATTTTCAAAGATAAATTTATTTCATTTAATCATTTAATAAGTGTAAGAATTTATATTTTAACAATTATGTTCTGCCAATATTGTTTTCGATACTGTTGTACAACTAATATTTCCAAAAATATGTGTAAGACAAGAAAATATTCTTAAAAAGTGGTTATATGTAAATGGATAAGGTCAATAGGAAACCACTTAAGCTTTTTGAGAGGGATACGTGGTATATTTTTCAAAGTTTAAATTGAACCATGTTATTTCATGTATGACATGTCGCAGAACTTTTATACATTTTATTGCAACCGAAACTCCTACATAACTTTGATACATCTGTGTCCCTTCAATTCCTTTTCTATTCGATATTTTTCGACATCTGTACACGTCCATTTCTATCGCTGACATGTGGAACAATACCGTCATAAACCCTTATGGTTGGGGAATACTCATAAACTTTACATGATGAAATTCTATATTAGGAAACAATTTTACTATTTTTTGTACCTACGATTCAGTCTGATGAAATATTTTCCATCACGACAGTAGCTAGAAATAAATGTCACGGTTCTTCTCTTTTGAGGTGAAATCAATTAACAACGTCTTAAACAGTTTTCAGTGAAGTCGTCAATCGTTTGTCAAATGGATTGAAACCAAATTTCGTTTACTAGTAGTCGGTCGTTCTTGAATGGTTCAATATTCGTGAATAGTGGTATACCAATCTCGAATTAGCTGTTGGCATATTATTTGTCAAAACAATGGTTTAAAAGTGTTTACAATCCATAACAAACTCATTCAAACAATCATAAACTAATATTTCAAGAGCAACAGTTTCATGCGTTCAAAAACATATGTAAATAAACGTTCGTCCAATAAATGAATCTTACAAATTTTCTTACAAACATTCGCAAATATTTGCAAACATTTCGTACAATTATATACAACAATTTGCTGTACCAAGTTAAAACAATTGTTCAAGATTAATTTGATAGGTAATGCCTTGCGAGCATTCTGAAAGGGGCTGATATCAGATAACTTGCCTTATATTTTTGAATTTTTAGTTTTGGATATGTTCCACGTTTTTTTATACGTCTACCTCATAGACGTTTAAAATGGAAGAGATTTTAAATACACCTGTAACGTTTGAAAAAATTTGCAATTTAAAATTATTTTTCATTGTATTATCTTTTTTGTATTACATTACATTCATTGATGAATCTACGTACACATCGACCAATCTTTTATCGTTATAGTTCGTTGCAATTTTGAATTGATATTTGAGGAGCTTGAAGATTACAGTGCATTCAATTTCCTTGAAAACAATATCTAAGACTAGTTGAATCTCTGGATTTAATAAACTTGAAGCAAATACTAGTATTGACATGATAGTTCTTGTCGTGTTGAAAACTTTCTCAATAAACGTTAGCCACGTTATTCGATTACAGGTAGAGCTTTCGTGAAAGCAACCACACAGATCATTTGAGTGAACGCCCACGAATTTCTTTATGAAATATCCAAAAAAGAACAATCAAGAACAACACAAAAAATTAAATTATTATTACAGAAATTATTGACATTATTTCTAATACTTATATTTTTAGAATATTTATATTTAACAATTTGGACAGTTTCAGTAATTTTGTTATCCATATTTACAAGTATTTAAAGAAACTTATACATGAAATGATATAGTTGAATTTGTTTCAGATTCAGTTATCATTCTGTAGAAGAACATATGTATCACGAGTTATTCGAAAAGCGTAAGTGGCTTCCATCTGACAATTTGCCTAACAATTCCATACGTACACTGTAAGATATATACCTCGAAAAACCCCGTAAACATATTTTTCTCTCTCCACCATATTTTTAAAAATATTTGCATCAGAAAATTTAAAATAGAATACTCTGCATATATTTCTATTTATATAACATCTTTCTGAGAAATTGTAAGTTATCCATTCACTGAATATTTTTAGAAATCTGTATTCATTACAAATCGCACAATTTACATTAAAATGTTTAGATTTTATTAGGTCGCATAAGAAAAGGTTGTTTACTATATATTATTAAAGAAAAGAAGAAACATATAATTTTAATCTTCTTGTGTATTTTGCCAACGAAAACTATTGAGGAAACTTCTCAACCTTAGTGGTATATCAAACATAAATACAAAAATATATAAGTATAGTGTATCAGGCAATCTGAGGAGTGAAAGAAAATCTATAAATGGCCACAGGGATCTATGAATAGATTAGACACTGATTAAATTACCTATTCAAAAAGAGGATGAAGTATTACTACAACAAAAGCTGGGAATCTGGTGATAACTCGTTATGCTTGGACAGGAATGATCTATGAAGGTTTGAAAGTGGCTAATAACCACGTCCCTCTAAGAGAGTCGAAAGAAAAACGTGATATTCGAACAAACGATGAGGTTTCCATTTAAAAGAATATTAGTCATAATTTTGTAAACATCAGACGGTGTTAAATATTATTTCCGCGTATTACAAATATTGGCTGTTAATTTTTACCCTATTTCATATCAATCAGTTTGCCACTTTCGAGATTAAACAGATGGAATGAGATGTTCTCACGTCACACAAAGGCACGAATGTTTTCCTCCAGAAACTAAAAAGAGTTCCGCGTATTTCCTTTGCGTCAACCGAAAATATTTATAACAGAGTCTCGAGTATCTGAATTAATTGGAAAACAAGAAAGTATTTGAACAAACAAACTTTCAAATAATAGGACAATCACTTTTTTAATATTAAATTTTGTTTATCCTATTGGAGATTATATAGACAAACAATTTGTTTAAATATGTGTGTTCTTCTCATATCTTTTTAATTATATAAAATTGTAGAAATTTTCAAATGAAATTATAAAATTATACTATAAAAATTAAAATTTGGTTTGTCAGATCATTTCTTGCTAAAAGATACTTTGTTCGATTAATAAAACTTCCGGTTAGTGAAACATTCGGATGTTTGAATAGTGGGTGGTTGGATATGAAGCTTTCTACTGTACTTCCGACAGTTCTAGGGAACCATGCATGACAAGGGGTTGACATGTAATCATACAACCCGAAGGCTTGATGCTTTTAGACAAGAATTCTTTGGTCTATACTTATCGAGAGGTCGAAATCTCTTTGGCTCAACTACGCAGCTAAATGCCGGAACAACGTTCCACTGTCCGATAATATTAATTTGCTGACTGATCGAAAATAAAGAATCGATTCTCCAGCAATCTCTCTAGAATCATTCGAGATCTATAAATTCTATTTGAATGAAAAAGGAAATAATCTTACGGAGAGTTACATGCCTTCTTATTCCATTTTCCAGTTTAATATCATTAAATACTCCGTTACCGTTTTAATTAAAAAATAATATTTTCGTGACATTTCATTAATTTACTACAAATATAACCATAAAATGATTTCTACCGTTGAATAATATTTTTAATAATGAGAAAATTAATAAAATACCATAGGAAGAAATTTTAGTTGGATATTGAAAGTTTAGCTTCAATGTGCAGATTCTCGAAAGTGTTTTTATTATTCTAGCTTCTGGCTTGCAGCGATAATTGGAAGTAATTCAACTTCATGCTCACAGAGTGTTTATGTACTCTAGAAGTTCGTTCATCAACAGAAGCCTTCGTTTGAACATATTTCCAGAAAATTGAGCAAAACTCCTGATAGCTATTTTCAACTTTCTGAAAATTAGAAATGAACGAAACAGTGATTACCTATCTTGCAAAAGAGCAGAAACTGAAAGAAACGTCTGTTAGATGAAAATACTTAATTTGATTTCTTTAAATCAATATTCATTTTATGTCTTTTAATATTTCATTCATGTGCAAAAAGCTACCGAACATCTGATAGAAGAAAATACTTGATTCGATTTCTTTAAATCAATATTCATTTTGTTCTTCAATATTTCATTCATGTGCGAAAAGCTACCTTGTTCCATTTCCTTCACCATTAACAAAAATATTTCCTGCATCTAATGTATAAATAATTATTGCAACAAATACTTCGAAAATCCAATCAAATATGTTTTATCGAGTGCAGTACAAATGGCAAGCTACAAAATACAGCCTTCAAACTTAAAAACATTTAATTCCTACTTCCGCAAAAAAAATGTGCTAACCCCTATCCTAAATTATCTAATTTCTGAAAGTTTCATGCAAAGGTAGAATTCATTCACAATACAACTCAATGAGCATACTTTTCATAAAATCATTCTCAAAGGACAAAGCTCTTAGCAGAAGCTCGAGAGAAGCCAACGAAACCTCGAAAATTTAGACGGGCATAAAACCAACCCTCATAAGACAGGCACGACAATTCCAAGCGAAAACGTACAAATCCCAGGCGAGCAGTTCGGAGTTAAAAGCCACCTGCGGTATAAACGTTTCTTTGCAGTATATATCCTGATTTTGAACATGGATTATAATTTGAACACATATAGGTGCCATGTGAAACGCGTATTATAGGTTGCTGCAAAAATTTCGAGGAACTATCAGAGAATTTACAAATAAGTTTAAACTAATGGTTTTATTGTTTTCCAAAATATTCTCCTTCAACATTGTTATTTTCCATTATGTTGCGTCAATATTTTTTGACTTTAAAACTGTGAAGCTTTACGAATGTAACAACTGAATTTCGAATTCCCGAAACTTTTACAGCAATCTACGTAAAATCAAACAATGGCGAGTGTACATGTGAAACGTAAGGAATATTTGGTATATTTTAATGAAAACCTAAAGCAATATAAAGGAGAATTACATGTTTATTTGAAGAACTGAATAATCCATTGATGTTGGGTTTTTAAATGACGTGTATATTCGCCAAACGCAATTAACTCGTTAAGAAATTAAGGACACGTGTTCTTATTACACTTGTGCACATTGTATGTGATTATGTCGAAGAACTAAATTTCTAGTCCTCTATTGAATGTCTGTGTACATTCCGTCAAGACCAGTTACCGAGATGACACTTGAAATATCACTTTCAACAGTATTTCTACCGAAGATCTTAAAAGACACATTTTAAAATTGTAACTTAATAGCAATATCTTATAATTTCTAATTTTTGTTTGTAATTACCAAGTAAATAAGGAACTTGTATTTAATTATTATGTTTACAGTTGTTTGCATCCAAATCCAAAGTGTCAGCAACATTTGGTAAAAATAGGTATGCATAGATCTTTATAAAACATATCATGAATTTTGAAACCAGTGAAATTTTCGTTATGTAGTTGATACAATTGCTATCTAGATATATATAAAATTCTTTTTATCAAAATAAAACGAACTTTTATAATAAATTTATTCTTTTAAATTTGCTGTTACATAAGTAAAAACAAGTAAATACATTAGATTTGTTTACTAGTTACTGCCAACGAGAGTATTCAGCACTAACTCGATTATTTTTAAACTCCCATCCTTAAAAGTTAAAAATCAAGGTAAAAATAAAAAATTTCACAAACTGAAATTCGGATTCATATACTACACGAGAAACAGGGATCATTACTTTAAAGTCTGTCCCAGCCTGTGTCGAGGATGACGGCCGATCCACAGACTGGCTATTAGTCATGGTCTCGCGGGGGGTTGATGCCGTCGGCAAGCGCGTCGATTCCGGGCACTAATTCAAAGTCGTGTACGAACCTTTCGACGGTGAACGCAGTGATAGTCAGGACGGTGGCGTTCGCCGACGTCTCCGCGGCGAATCCCTGAATAATGCAGAAGGCCTCTCCGAACACGTACGGGAAACGGGACCATATGTAGTACATTTCCTGCGGCAGGCCAGACAGCAGCAGCAGTAAATCAGAGATCGCCAGACTGAACAAATAGTAATTGGTGGCGGTATGCATGGACTTGTTACGTGCGATCACCACACACGTGGACACGTTCCCGATCAGCCCGGTGAAGAAAATCACCGCGTAAATAACAGTGATCGGCAGTACGATGTACAGGGGGTCTCGTCTCGTGGACGAGTCCTCTTGCTGGAGGAACGCGACGATAGGGTTGGTGTGATTGACAAATGTCGCGGCGAGGATCAACGGATCGTCCCCAACCGGATTGTATTCCACGGTCGACTGAATCGGTCCCTCGAGATCCAACGATAAGTTCAAGCTTCTCGTGATCATCTTCGGGTTGGGAACTTGGTAACGAGAGGAGGCTGTTCCTTTAAGGATCAGAGTGACTAGGGCTGCGACTGACTAGCTGCTACGTTGAACTATCCACGGAGGAATTCAGTTCATCCCCTTTCGGTTTTTTATGCGATCGTTTCTGGTAGATACAGCTCCAAAGATTTATTTACTGTCGTCTGGTCCCGATGGTAGCAACTGCGTGCAACGACCTTCATTTTTGGGTAGCTTGGTCGATGGACACTCGTGACGTTTGAAAGTCTACCGTTGCCGGCAATTAAATTAATTCCGACCAATTTGATCCGGACAGAAGCGTGCTGATGGATCGATTAGACTCGTCCCGCTGTCGGTTCAGCGGATAAATGTTTCTGTTGAGGTTTCTCCTTAGCCTCTGGCGCGTCCACGACTCGACCGGGCCGCAGCGAACGGCTCGTTAAGTGTTGCTAAACAATCTGTCCGGCCCGAGGTAGCCTCGGGATCGATACGGGGCCTCGAAAATAGATCACATCGAGCGGAACGCCTCCGCGAAAAATTGTCTGCTCCAGTCGACGAATAGAAATTGTTCTCCTCGGGGACATATTAATAGAAGATCGCCAAGGCGGCGCGGGTTTATTATGGACCCCCGAGTCTGCACCGTCAGGTCCACGTGTCAGCGGTAACCAACGTCCCGTGACACCTACGGGTGACTGATGTCTCCTCCGATCGCGTCTTCGAACTGCAAATCCAGGAATCGAATTAGTTAGAATTTGGAACTGTGACATGCATTCTCATGGAAATTTATGTTTCGCGCTGATTGTATGTGTTTCTTGGATTTATATTCTGAAGACTACTGCCGGTGATTGCTAGTTGGTTCGATATTTTGAAATTCTGAATTCTGAATTATGGATTTCAATATTGAATTAACCCCTTGCGTTATAACGCGTCAAACACGCGAAGAAGATTTTAAAGAGAATCTATCATAAATATTACTCAATTTTTTGGAATTCAAGTTAACTATTACTCTTCTATTATCAATAATTGCACTTTGGAGCAAGAGTAGACGTAGAACACGCCTAAAATTTGTTTGTTTTTTCAATAAATTATTAATGGCGAAGTAGTTGCATCGATCATAGCTGAATAGTAAATCACACATGGCAAGGGGTTAAATATTAAAATAAGTTTTCTGTTGTTCTAGGAAGATGTACTTGACCTGAGAAATTTTTATATCCTATTATTCAAATTGTTTTTCATTTCTTCTAAGAATTAATACTCTTTCCATATGGTTTCATGCATATGGTTTAAATTCTGAATTTTAAATTCGGAGGTTGAAACTAGTTTCTGAGTTTCTACAGATTCAATTGGTTTTAAACATTTTATTCTTCGTCGATTGAACCACTCTATTGAATTCTTTTCTAGACATAAAATTTTAATTTCGTTATGGGTTATAATGGCCCTTTGCCAAAGATCGGAATTTAATTTAATTATTACAACTTAATAGTTGATATCAAATATAACTCAAGTTTATATAACGTAACACCCGTGTCATTTTCTACCTCGTCGATCAAATGAGACTAAATTGTAACTGTACAATTAAATTCCAATAGGATCTAGTTTCATCTAGATCATTTGTAAAACTGTTTATTTGAATCGCGTGTTAACAAATATTTCATGCAAATTATTATAAACATCACGATATTTATATTATTTTTAAATAAATAAAAATAATTTAATATCTTAAGATCATAATTATTTTTTAATTAATTCTATTCACTTTCAAACGAAGTTTATCTAATAATACTGTTAAATTTAAAGCCCGTTAAATTAAATACACTTTTTTCAACGTGAGATATGAAGATTACCTCAGTTTAAATCAAACTTATGAAAATTTTTGGCAAACGTACCGAATACATATTTCTACGGTCACAATAATCAATTCGTTGCAGCTGGCTCCTCTCTTCCACAATTGTTCTACCAATTTATATCGTCTACCGTAACAGTCGTTCGGTTGAACTACTTCTCGTATTATTTTACTTCAAAATAAATAGTATAAACAATCATCGGATAGTTAACTCGTGATAGATTGTTATTCGATCACATCATTAGAACCTCTCAGAATATTTCCAGTGCGCGTTTCAAAGGATCATCTCGCGATGATTAATCCGATTACACTGATCGCTTTATTTATCGTATCGGGCGTAATTCAATTAAATTACGGAATCTCATCATGTAAGACAGACATCTGCACCTTTACAATCCTGGGCGCAATTACCGTCAAATCCACTACACTCGATTATTCAAAGTTCCCAGGTATTTTGAGCAGTTCCTTTAAACCGATTAACAGATTCCAGGACGTGTCGAGTAGAACTTTCAACGGTCTCTAAACAATTGTTAATATCTCCTCTCGCGACACTAATTGCGGTAATTACAGTCCCTGCACGGGTTATAGTAATGAAGCCAGAGCAGGTTTCTAGTAAACTAAATTGCTTTTGTCCGTGAAGCGTTAGTTTCTTTTTAATCGAAACCGGTTCTCACTGAAAAGTGTTCATCCTTTCTTCTCCATTAAAGTATCGATATCTGTACACATCTATCGGGTATATTTTTCGACGGTCCCTTCCGCCAATTTCACGTTTCGCTTTCTCGTTTAACTTTTCAACGAAAACGTCACTGGTCTAGCTAAAATCCAACATATTTCGTTCTTGCCTCTCACGTTCTTTTGCGATGAAATCCTTATAAATATAGTTAGAATTTCATATATCTCACGCTCGAGTGGCCCGTCGGTCGTTTCAAAGGATATCCTGTGAATTTTACTAAAATTCCACGAATCTCACGTTCGGCTTTCTTGTCTGTCGTTTTGATGGAAATTTCACTTATTCTATTTAAGTTTAAAACGAATACTTCGATTTTACATAGCGTTTCTTTGCACGGTAAACAATCGAACGTATGTGATTCTTCGTTTCACCGAGCAAGTGGGCTGTAAACAATCGTCACAGCGATTAATTTGTTTTCACACAGAGAACTGTCTGGTTAACCGCATTCAATGACGGATCGATCTGTCGGGTTCACACTTTTCAGAACATTTCTTTGCGATTCGGCTTGTTACTTGTCAAACATCGAATTACGAATTTTCTATGTATCATATCAATCCCTCAAATTCTTTTTACTTCTTCTTCAAACATCCGGCACAACACGAATATTCAACGAACATTGATCGATTAATACAACACGAACTCTGAATTTCTTTATTCGTTAACTTTGAAACCGTACATCTAATCTTAAACATTTTTTTACTTTACTTACTACTCTTTCCTGTTACTTCATAATCTATATTACTCATTACACTGAAACGAACTAAAATGATTCTTATCATGCTTTTAACCTACTGTACTAAAAATTCATTCGAACGTTCCTCAATAATCCATCAAATCACTTCGACACTAGTGTCACACATGTTAATCTGTTAATTACTCGAATTTAAATAGAATTTAAACAAAATTTCTACACATTTATCTTTAATTTCACTAATTACAAGTGTTGCCCACAAATTCTCAACTTTTTCATTCATCACACCTTAATAACTTCCCGAGTGATTATTCCTCGATCGAATTACCGATTCAACCCCACCTCCAACGATACGACTCGATCATCCCGTGGTCTATCCGCAACTGTCTGAGCTCTTCGATTATCCGTCGAACCGTCTGCCGCGAAGGCATTAGTCGGTGGGAACGCGTTTAATCGTCACCGGAGATTGATTCGTCGCATTCAACACTATTTCGGTCTACACGCGATTCACTGGTGTCGAGCACTCGCATCTTCGCCGGTGTCATAATCAGATCCACGGTGTTCCGTGAACGACGAACACTTGTCGCTATTTCTGAGCCGCGACGTGCAAACAACGGTGTCGTTCGCGTTATCACGGTCACATTGCTCCATTAGCGTTAATCGTCAACCGTGATCCGGGTCATCGCTATTCGAATGATTGAACAACGAGTTCTAGATGCGTTTCTTATCCGTCGTAGTCAGTCAACCGATGGTCCACGAAGTCGAAATATTGTGATCGTCGAAAAACTCTTCATTAATCATTTAATAATGATTAAACATTATTTAATCTTCTCTTTACGCGTGAATGAGAAATTTATTGGTAGTGTAACTTTTCATTTATATTCTTATAAGTTTATTCTTTTATATTCGTTGCACGGTGAAACGAGATTTTTATAAATAAATTGTTAGTGGAATTGTGATACGAGACGATAATACAGTCAGCCATCTTCACAATCTAGTTTATCCCGCCGAACTTGACCTTTTTAATTAATTAAAAGATGGAAAAAGTTGCTCCTTTGCGTGAGCATTCTACTCGTGGGAATATGTTACTTGGTTTCTAGAAACAGCTTCTGTCCCTTGGTTTCTTAACTTTGTTAGAATAATCGATATTAACGTATGCGTCTCGTGTGAATATTTTTCATACATAAAACAAAAGGAAATCGAACTTGTTCACTGTTTAAGTTTTTCGAATATTTCTCACGTATTCTTTCATTTATTCATTAACCACTATCTCGTGATTTATTTATGTAATCAGCGAGGTATTTTTGGATATTTGGAAGTATCGCTAACCGTTCACTGGAATTTATCAATGCTGCCAAATTAAGCACTATCTTCAGTCAGTAACGAAACTTTGTCGTTTGTTTGCTGCAGCTTCTCAGTTATTTATAGCGGGAAAAAATACAGTATCGCTTGATTGGTCTCTTCATAAATCATCGCAATATTAAACGCCATTTACGGAAGCTTTACGAAGATAGTTCGCTCCGCTGGGTATAATCGTTACACCATACGGGCGTCCAGTATCAGCTCCTACGAAAAAAAAACCGAAGAATTTCGACGGTGTATCGAAGCTCCGCAATATTACGCATTCGGCGAATCCGTCGGGAATAAGAGTTCTTTTGATGTGTATCTTCAATCAATGAAAAGAGACATCACGAACTCTTGAGATCAGAGAAAAATAGTATTACTCAAAGATCCTTCGATCCCTCGGCGACAATGAAGCCTTTTATCGACCCTTACATATACTCCGTTAAATGAAAATATTATAAACATATTTTTACAGAATTTTTACCGATTTTTATCGTTCATGAATTTACTAATCAAATCGCGAATTCTTCACGTATCACGTAAAATTCTATAGTATAAACAACATAGTCCTTCAGTGATTTCCAAAAATTCGATGAACTCTTTAGTTCCTTTAAAAATGATTTCAGGTTCTTCAAAAGTTGTTTTCCGTTTATGTATACCACAAAGTACACCATTCACAGATGTTCAAGGAAAAAGAAAACAGAGTTCGTTCACTGACGATTGAAACCAATGGGATGGCATTGGAGGGAAGATTTTATTTGTCTGTTTTATGTAAATGACTGTCACCGTAGTGGGAAGTTGTTCAACCGATGATTTTTTTTCGTCGAAGGTCGATCGCTGATCTCGACGAGTTTCGGAAACGACCGGTGCCCACGAGAACTGAACGCGTTGTGAGCGTGGCGGAGCGGCGCCGCGAATTTGAAAGAAGCGTCGCCGCGTTAGGCTCTCCTCACAACAAAATGACGTCTTTTGCACCTGCGTCTTCGGCCGCGGACTCCGCTCCGTTCAATAGACATCCGAGGCTGCGGAACGTCTGGGGAAACTGATCATCGAAATTGTCTACCATGACGCCTGGCCAATTATTTGTTAGTAAATAATCGCATTGTTAGAAAAATTTTAATCTTTAATAATCTGAATTATCGTAAATGATTTATGAAATTTTACAATAAGGCAAATATGCTTGAAACTCGAGTTTACTTTAGATTGGCACAATTAAACGCTGATCTATAGAAAATGGGATTTTTCAATTTGTTAATCTTTTTATGATTTACTCTTTGTTTTATTTGTATTTTTGGGAATGTTTCTGTTCTGACCGATGAGACTGTGAAAGATTAATAATCTAAGAATAACCGAGTTATTGGACGGTATACTTTATAAAATTATAATCAGATATAAAATGGAAAAATAATTAACAAATTTGAAACTTGGATATGTATTGTTAAATTGAATAATTGTGCAAGATTTTTAACATTTATACACGCGAAGGAAATTAATTATAGCGTGATACAGTATATTCGAAAAAAGGAATGAACTTTTGGTAGAACATTGAGAAAATTTGAATTGTATGGTCGAATCGGAAATAAATTAAAAGAGCAATTTAAGAATTCTTTTATTTTAGCGATAATTGGAATGGATATTCAGTTGCATTCATATTAATTTGTTGCCTTCAACGAAGACACATGTCTATCAAAGGAAACAAGCGGAATTTAATTATACCGTGACACAGTATATTCGACAGAAAAAATAAGCATTTATTGAAGTGTTCAAGTATTTTTGATTATTTAATTCAGACAAGATTAAATCGGAAAAATATTTGAAGAATTTTATTTCTTAATAGTAATTGTTTAATTGCTTCATTGTTCTTCATTAATTGTTAAATTTAATATTAATACAGGATATTTAATATTGTTTCATTTCAAACAATCTGTTGCTTTCAACAGTGACATATATGAAAGGAAATAAGCGGAATTTAATTATGACATGACTTCGTATATTCGAATGATAGAATAAGAATTTAGTTAAATGCTCCAATAATTTGGATTATTCAGTCGTGACAGGAATAAATTAAAAATATAATTAAACAGTTTAATTTCTCTGTACACTCGTTGAATTTAAAAAATAATATGGAATATGTAATATTTAGTTGTGTTCATAACCATCTGTTGTCTTTGGCGGATATAAAAGAATACAAGCGGAATTTGTTTGTGACATAAATAAATATATTCGATTGAAAAATATGAATTTATAACACTTGAAAGTTGTTATACCGTTGTTTCTGATTATCGACAAATACGTCTTTATATAATATAAACAAAAACTTGATGTATAATAGATACTAAAATCAATAATTTTGCAATTTCTTTGAATTTTGTTTGAATGTCTTTGGTATAACGATCGATGTTCTGAAAATTAACTTGCAAAATAATTTCCTTACATTTGCATCCAATCGAAAGTGCCTTTTTTTGTTTTCTTTCATGTCTGAATCTTCACATTGTGTACAGGAATAAAAATTCTTATTTATTCGAAAGACAGTGGGAATTCTGTATGTATGTAAATCTCGTGACACCTACAGAAAACGAAAATAATAGTTAACATTAAAATTCCTTTGCAATAATAATGTTGAAAAGCAGTAGATGATCTGGAAATAATTATGGAATCTTATTATTTACACGACCAACTATAAATGAATGAAAAATTGTTTTCTAATAAATTAATAAATTTCGATCACGTACATTAATAACACAGTTGTTGTTCGTTGTACTTTAATAATAAATTGATGTTTACCATGAACTGCGGCATTTTCTTATCAAATAAGACAAACTCCTTGGAAACTTCTTCGACTTTACAAGGCAACTCACTAAAACTTTGTGGAAGATATCGAAGTCTATCGATTATTTTCGATTATTTTCGACGCCAGATTTCCATATTACGGCAAGCGTGTCTGCTGAGAATTTACATTAAAATTAATATTGTTTTCAAAGGGGAAAGTTCCTAACTGAATTCTTCTTAAAACTTTCATCGCAAAGTTAAATACTCAAACTGAGAATATATATTTAAAAAAAATTATATAATATGTTCTTTTTGTAAATGACTAACGAATAATGTATTATTAGGTATCGAAAAAACGTCGTGCGATTTTTTAGTTAGCAGTAACTTGAGTTCTGATTTTAACCAGTATTTCATTAGTTTAACACTAAAACTACAGCTAGAAACGTATTGTTCTAATTTTGATAAAAAAAATTGAAAATAAGTCAACCTAATTACTCGGTAGTTTTAGTGTTAATGATAATAATTTAAGTTATATTTATATCATTTGTGTCAAATAAAATCATTTTACAAAAATGTTCTTTATATTTAAATTTTGATTTAAGAACTCGCACGAACTTTTTCCAGTACCTAATACATCTAACGTAATGCCTGACAGTTGTTGCAAATTTGTGATTTTTTTTTATAAAATTACATGGAAGCGAATCGATTTGTTAAGATTGTCATTTTGCATGCTACATTATTATTATAAATTTTAACCATTCTTTAACTTCCGAAAAAAAACATGCGACAAAATTCGAATCAGTTAAACAGATTTTTTATTCGATTGTAGCATAATTTAACATATCGAATAATTATATATTAATAATAATAATAATAATATCTAATAATAATATGTTTTTATAAAAAACTTGAAACTTTTCGTTTTGATGAAATTTCCTGGGGTGGTACTACTATATTGTGGCACAAGCAATTTTCTTTGGCAGAAATTCACTCTGAAGAGGTGAAATGAACCCATAAAGTTGATGGCTTTGTTAGTAGCTAATTACAATTATGGCGCTACTGGGAAAGATGTAACGTTAATTACATAAAGGTACTTATTTTTCACTAACATTGAATTGTATATTAATGTATTATATATTTTTCATTAACATTCAGTTGTATTAATAGTACATTAATGTATTATATATATGTAACTATACAGACAAATTTGTCATTTTTATATATTTTGACATATCGTCCACAATAATGAGCATACAACTTTTTATTATACATATGTATGTGACAGATTCCATTCAATTTCATACAATCGATATTTCATACATACAAAGTGAAGATGTTCTTTTATTTGTAAATTATGCGTAGTAGAAAATGTTTCATATCAGGAAGTGTTGGGCAATAAAAAACGTCATAAATTTTGTTTTTATACTTCATTCTGTTTCGCGTGATAAAAAAGTTACAGTCATAAAGAAACTTGCAAATTTTAGAGATGTTTACAAGAGGAAGATTTCACTTGTCTATAAAAAGATGTCATAAAAATTGGAATATTCAGTTTGGAAAAAATTCTTGTGTGCAATAAAAAATGTTTTTAAAATTTGTCTTCAAGTTAATGAATTTCCCGTATTCTCGGTAATCGAGTAATTTATCACTAGAACTACTGTAATATAATTGATATGTAATTCTCATGAAAATGGTAACAATAGAGTTTTCTCGGTTTCTTCAGATAGTCATTCAAGTATTCGAGTGAAACTATTTTCCAGATCATTTAGGATATTTAATATTTTTATGTTACCAATAATAACGAAATAAGAAAACTGATACCAGTCATCTTGACTGGGACGGTAGTTCTAGTGTTAACGTACAATTTTCCACTTAGTTTAAAGGGTGAGGTTAACGAAAACACCAAGAAAGTATTATACGTCACCTGTTGCATGGAAAACGCAGCTGGCCTCCTTTTCTCTTTTAGAGAAACTTATCGGTCGGAAGCGATCGGTTAGCGGAAACTTTTTCTCCCTGCTCGTTACATATGCGATATTTCAACGATGGATGACGGATCGACCTCTTTCCGATTTGTATCGATCGACAGACTCGTTCTGTTGCATCCATTCGAGCGGATTTTAATTCGTGTTGAACTCGTCACCTGTTGCATCTGAGCATGTCCGTGCATCCAATGAGCAACCATGAAAAAATAGAGGAAAAGACTCGAGGTAAACTGTTCGTTTTCATCGGAAATAAATGAAAAAGAAATGTATCTTTCGATGGTTTTGCAACATACGTTCAATTTCATTGACGTGATATACAAAATAATAAAACAATGTTCCAAATTCTACGAAATGTTCAAACTAATAAAACATGTTCAAGTATTTTCGTTATTTTTGATGACGTAGGAAAATATTTAATAATATAATTATACGGTAAGTTTATCTGGACAGCGACAATATGGCGGTGGTGAAGATTTACGACTCCAGTTGAAGAGAACGATAACTCGAATGTATGAGAAAATATGGTTTGCATTGAAATTCTTTTTTGGACGTTGAATTAGATGTAAAATTAATATCTTATTACGTTATAGTCTATACCAAGGTATACATGTAAATAACAAAAGAATATAAGCTTTAGAAAGAATTAATACTATTTTTACGTAACGTTTAATATTTATATTTAAGCCCGGTATTTAACACGTTCGCGGACAGTAAAAATTTCAGAGCTGCAAAAATAGACGGGCAATTTTTTTTTAAACTAGTTGTGATATCCGAAATCTGATTAGATGTATTTTGTAGGAGTAGGCAGAATATCATATTTTAACCATTGTATACAATGAATGCTATAGCATCTATGATGATACTAATCAAATTAGGATGACGTGAATACTATAGCATTCGTTCATAGAACACATGAGAAAAAGAGATTTATTTATAATTTCACTACATTATTTATTCAACACTAGATCTTTATTCGTCAACATATAAAAAAATTAAAAAATTAAATCCGTAAGTTCATAAAATATTGATATATAAAAAGAACTAAACATATCGGTTCATCATTATAATTGAATGTTTTTAAAACTCCATCCGAAATATTGGAGTTATTGTGATGTGCAGGAGGTAAATACAA